TTATATATTGTTTTCTCAAAACAGGCTATAAGTTAGACATTATTTTCCTAACATTTTAAAGAAGAAACTGTGGTGCCCAAGGCAATATAAACAGTCTAATCCAATTTGGCTGACTATAAAGCCCACACTCTAACCTGCCACTACATGGATCCTCAATGAGTGTATAATCAAATCAGATGCTAAATTGTATGGCACGGATAAAAGCTAAGAATGGCAAAAAAGGAAGAATTTACATATTAACTAGAGGTCATAGGATAAAGTGTCAGGAGGGAGGCTAGACTTTAATTTGGCTTTAAATAATGATTAGTAGTTACGTAAGCAAATAGAAAGGAGCTAGATATTCTAAACACCAAGTTATATAAACCTTGTGAAAAGGTCAGAAGGCAAGAGTAGCATGCCATGTACAAGGAGATAAGAGAGAGATCAAGGATATATGATGTGTTCCTACATGGATGTGTATCTTAAGTACAATATTTTAATTTTATGTATTTTCACATCAATGTGTAAATGTGCTTTAGTCTATATAATGTTCAACTCAATAATGTCAACTTTAATTTATATCAAAGGACTTCAGAAGCCTCTGGGAAAAGGATGCATCTTACAATGCTATTATAAGTATTACAGGTAGAAGAAGAGAGAAAGAAATTAAATTAGAGTCCAAATTACCAAACTTTATTTTATTTTAGTCCACAAAACCAAAGCCCCAAGGAAATCTCTTGATTTATAACCTCTCAAATTAATACATAAATCTGGGCTCTATATAACAGCTGAAGCTTACTATTACCATTCGTATGTAACATCATCCAGGAGGATAAAAACCAAACAGTCCAAGCAGATAAACTCCAAGATTGCATCTCCAGATAGTAAAAACTGAAACAGTCTCCAGATTCTTGGGTTAATCCTGCACTGTCATCCGTTTAACTTCAGGCTGACTCCTGGAAAACCCACCACCTCATCTATCCTGGCCTCCTCTCACCTTTCCCAACCAAAGCTACTTTCAACATTAGTCTTTTTTGACAGTAGGAAAACGGAGAGATGCTTGTGCCCTGACCTAAAACATAGCCTAAGGAATAGCTGAAATGTAAGCACCCACTCTTAAAAAAAAAAAAGAAAGAAGAAAAGAAAAGAAAAAGTTAAGCTCATACCTAGGAGAGAAAGCACAATAACCCCAAAAAGAGAAGTAAAAGAACAGCGCAAAGTACACCAGAGATCTATCTGGCCCAGGGAAAGAAATCTCTCCAAATGATGTTTAAAACATCATAGAAAGAGGCAGAAAATAAAATCTAATGAATGAGTCCAAGAAAATAATTATAGTCAATTCATAGAACATCCATAATTCACAGTTAAGGTAAATTGGTATTTAGTGTTTGTTTAAAAAATGGATGAAGAATGAAATATGTTAGGAGAAAACCTAAATAATACATAAGGCAAGGGGCAATCTATCAGCCTTTGGCATCCGGGAAGCCTAAGAGTTAATGCGTTTCTGAATTTTAAAAGTGCAGTAAAACACATCAATTTTAATTGCCTGTAATCTGAGGCCAAAACTTTTGGCACACTTCCTTGTTCACAGCAACAATAGCACCAACAACTATTTATTGAGCATTTGCCATGGGTCAGATACTGCTGTGAGCACTGCAGAGGATACAGCACTGAAGGCGACAGATGAGGCCCTGTCCTTACGGAGCTTACGTTCTGTCACGAGGAATGATAAATATGGTTGGACCAGACAACAAACCATGACTAATTCTCTGGTACAAAGAATCCTGCCTTATAAGGCAGAAGTTTTCTTGCTGAATTGCAATTTTACAGAGACCTGAATCTTTTCTAGTAGGAGAAACTTTCTAGTGTGTGTTTAATAGGCTGTGTGGGCTTTAAAGGAGGTAGGATGGGAGAGAAAAGACTGATCCCATCAAGTCAGGGAAATTATGTTCTACCTCTTTGAACCCTGCCCATCTAGGAAACACAACAGGTCATCTGTGGCTTCTTACAGAAGAACTTGCTTAATATTACAAATTTCTAGGAAGCTCTGCTACATTTGGAAGTAAAATGGAGAGTAAACAAAGTTTGTCTTTGCTATTCTCTGCCATCTCCCTCATTCACTATGTCTTCTTGTATTCCTCTCTTTTTTCTTTTTCTATTTTGAGATTTTTTTTTTAATTCTTCAAAAATCAATGTTTTAATTTACTAGATGCATACAGTATAAAACCAAGTATAGTTTAATTTCCCTCACTTTATCTCTTTTGTCTTACCCTTGTAAGTCCTTTTCCCTCTTTTTCTATCACTCTGGTCCCTGACTTTCTTTCTACTCTGTCATCCTTCCCTTTCTGACCACTTCCCTCCAACTCCCCTTCCATCTTTTCCAGGTAGGAAAAAAATGATCACTAGACATAGGGAAAGGTGGAGTAGAGTAAGACAAAGGGTTGACAGTATGCTATGTGTGCAGGTAAGTCTATTTCATAAAGATTTGTCCCTTTGAGTTTAAAAAATTGCCTTGTGTGAATAAATTTCACTAGAACTAGGGTTACCGGAGATAACACTTAGAAGATTGTAAAAATAAAGTTCTATACATTTTCTTAGCTGTCTAAAGACATTCTTTCAAAAATCCTTTTGTGTTTTTGTATATATTGAACAATTTGATTGAGAGAAGGAGAGGGAGAGAGAAGGGGCCCTGTCTTTTTGTGTGTGTGTGTGAGGACGATTAGCCCTGAGCTAACATCTGTTGCCAATCCTCCTCTTTTTGCTGAGGAAGATTGGCCCTGGGCTAACATCCATGCCCATCTTCCTCTACTTTATATGGGACACTACCACAGCATGGCTTGATAAGCAGTGCTTCGGTCCACACCCAGGATCCAAACCGGCAAACTCCAGGCCGCCGAAGCTGAGCGCACAAACTTAACCAGTATACCACAGGGCCGGCCCCAAACTGGACCTGTCTTTTGCCTCTCATCAGATGCCCATTTTCAAATGTCTCTTCAAGCCCTTGGTCTGGCCTCTCCTAAAACTGCATCATACTGCATGCTTAGAACTCCTCAGTTTACTATCCCCCAACCTAGCTGCCTGCAAGGACATTGGGAATGAGACTTGCAAAATGTCCAGGTTTGGAGTCAGACTGATTTAGATTTGAAGACCAGCTTCATGTCTTAATAGCCCAGTGGCCTTAGGTAAATTACTTAACTCTCTTAACAGTTTTCTCTTCTGTAAAATGATACTCATAAAACCAACCCCATTATACTGTTATAAGCATTTTATGATCTAATCCATAAATGTATTAATCACACTATGTGGCATACAGTTTTCACTTAATAGTATATATGATTTATATATACACATACATAAGAATACATATATATATATATCCATCCCCCATGTGCCCATCTTTTCTTCACATATACAGGCAATTTACCTATCGATCTTCAATGCCATTTCCCAGACTTCTGCCCTTCTGCCCTTGAAGCATTCACATTTTTCCAAATTCGCAATTAGCTAATGTAAGAATCTAATCACTGAGGATGTGCTAATGAGAAAGAATAAGAGAAGAGGATGGTAACTATTGCCTGCCAACTCAAATACCCCTCAATGGTAAAATATGGCTCTTGGAAACAAAATTGTACTAAAAATTGCATAGGCCCGAGTTGTGATTCACAGTGTGAATTTTAAGCCGCAGCATTTGGGAACTTACTGTAGTAGCTCGCAGTAACTGTGACTGCTTCTGTTATGTGTGCTAATACGTAGGCCACCACTCATTTAAAAATAAATAAATAAAACTTAAGTGGATATTGTGTCCTTTTTTACATAAATTAAAGTATCTGCAGACATATTGCATTTGCCCAGGAACATTCTACAAAACAAATATAAGTCCTAGGAAAATAGGGACATGGGAAGGTTAAATGCCCATGTAATGTCTATGATAAAGCAAAGCCTAGAACACAAGTCGCTTTTCAAGTCAGTATGTCTAGACCATACCATGTTGACTTTATGAGGTGTAACTAAATATAGGAAATCCTGCTTTGAGCGCTCCCCATCCAAAAGATCCAAAATTTGTGAATTAGGCAATGGCAAGAGAGTTACACCCTTTGCCACATCAGCAGGAAAGACAAGTAATGGACTCGGTGCTTGGCCACACGAGTCAGCCACTTAGTCATTTCTCTAGATGCTATCCATCATTGAGCACATTCTTGAATTTCATGCAATCTAATTTAAACGTCTAACTGGCTGTTCTGATTGGAATAAACATTCGATCAATAAAACCTTGACGAGACTGACACCTAGTGGCTATGAAGAAAGTAGAGAATATCCAGTTTGGGACAAGTAACTACCGTGGCAGCATCTCGCAAACACACAGAATATAATGATTATTAATATTATAAAATACTAATTCTAAAAGCAACCCCATAAAAGCCTATTTTGGCTCTCGATTTATCTTGCAGCCTAGGCAACGAGGCAAAAAGACTTGCATTTTTAAAGTATCCTTTCCTTCAACCTTACACATTTAGCAAATTTTTACTAATCTTCAGAGATCAAACAAGAAAACTAAAGATAAACTAAAAAAACATATTTTGGCATATTTATGACTCTTTTCCTTAATTTTTGCATGTATACCCACATCTTTTTCCTGTTCTCGAAATGATTTTTCTCCTCCAGTACCCCCTGTCAAATATAAAAGCCATCTGTCCACACTATCATAGAGGTTCCCTTTATGCTACTGAAGCATCCTTAGTCAAAGGGTAGTTGGACCTTCACAAACCAGCAGGAGTTTTCTTTAAGAGAAGTGTAAGGATACATGTGGAAACCCCTAAAGTGCACATCTAAAAGCAAGGATCACACTGAATGCTGCAGGAAGCTGTATGAACACGGCAGGTCAGCACAGCACAGCACAACTTATTTCTGCCCTAAACATTAAAAGATAAGTCTCCCCAGACCCACCTGAACCTCTTAACAGGCAGGCTGGCAAGAAGACTAAAGTGTTCATCTCCTCCACCAAGGAGAGCTCTGACTCCTACCTGCTGACGTTTGAAGGCTAAATAATCCAGATTTTCCAGCTCCTTCCCAAGCTTCTGGTAGGTTTGCTGGAGGTCAGATTTGTTGGAAACATTTTTAAGAGACTCAAGTGTCCTTTGAAACTGAAATTGAAAACAAAAGTAAGTCATTAGGATAGCAGCATATTTTTCTCAAATTTCTAACCAGCTAACACAGAGAAATAGTCAATACTGAGCCTCAGTTTCTCCCATTCATAATACGGAGATAGCATATGCTAGCTAACTGCCTTTCAATGAAATAACTAGGCACAATTATAAAGAATTAGAAACTGTATCCTAAGTACAACCAACATTGTTGCATGAGTGAAATGCGTGGTTAGCCCTCATTCCAACAAAAGACCACAATGCATTTAAAAAAACTCTTCATGTTTTAGGATACACTGCTACATTTAAAGAAACAAATTGCAATGAATGTATAATTTCAAATCATAATGAGGAAGTATTAAAAGAGTTCTCACATTCCAACCATGGAATAAATTTATGTAAAGGTAGCTGCTTGCCTCTGTAGAAGTATCTATGCAGAATAGGCACCCAGCAAACTTCAACCAGGAAGATCTCTCAGATCTTACATTTTGAGAAGGAAGGAAAACTAACATTTTGATGATCAAAGCATATGTAGCATGTTCAACAAACGTTTATTCATTTCTGCTCTGTAACACAGATGAATTATGAAATCAGTTTTGCTGAATCAGAATGTTCCTGTTCATTTTTAAGTCAGATACTTGATAAACACAAAGAAGACAAATTGCAGTGGGTCATAGAATATTGTTCTGCTACTAATAATTAATTAAGCAAAGGAAGCTCACAAGAAATTGAATTCTTGGTTTATTTTAGTAAATTAGAACATATTTTGGAGGATTCGCGATTGAAAATGTCAAGTAATGTCATTTGCGGGACATTTGTCTTTGCTCTCTCTTTATGTCTCTTACTTCCCATATTCTCACTGCATGCCGTTAGATAGATTTCTACAGATAGAGACTTCACCATCTTAAACACACCAGAAATCCACTGTGACTATGATGCTATGAGACAGGCTAATAAGATTTTATAGAATACAATTAAGTTTCCAGGGAAATTATTTGACCCTTACTATTTAAAACACTATGGAATGTCATATTATAATGGTATTCTACTGAATTAAATCCTCAATTTCATGAGAACAACATGTTTATCTCAATTCAAGGTGACAGAGGAAAAAGAAATGGGAAATAACAGTGCTAAGTTTCCACAGCAGGACAGTAAATTAAATTCAACAAATAATCTTTTAGAACCTACTATGCACAAGGCACTATGAATATAAAACATGTTTCCTGCCCTAAAGGAACTTACAAACTACCAAGGAGACTAGACATGAAACTCAGAAATGAAAAAAAGCACTGACATTTATCGAGTGCCTGCTCAGTGCCAGGTACGTTATGCTTTCCAATTTAATCCTCACAAAACCACAGGAGTTCCTATTTCTCTTCCCATTCTACAAGTGAGCAAACTGGGACTCAGAAAGTTTGAACTGGGTTTTTACTACAACGTTTGTGATCTTTCCGCTCTACCTTTCTAACTCTAACACAAGGCGTAGTAGTAAAGCGAGTGCAAGAAGAGATAAAAATAACATGTGGTGAAACAGAAAAAACTCATTGAAACTAATTGAGGGACTCAGGCCACATAGAAGGCATAAGAGAATTTGAGTTGGGCCTTGAATGACAGGAAGAGTTTTCAGAGCCTTAAAATGGGAACCGATTCTACACATCAGTTTAAACATAGCCAAAGCCTGCTAATTTTCCTCCCTTTGTAGCATAGTAAACAAATTTCTTTAACATAATTTTAATAACCTTTATATTAACTACTTATCATGTTGTATGATCATTTCTACACGTTGCCCATTTCTTGGTCCCTTCTCACTATGTTCAAATGAAAATAATACCAGATCTAAGATTCTAAACAATTTAAGTAATTTTACCTATAATTATTATAAACTATTTTACCAATCTGTTTAATTCTAAGCACTTTCTCTTCCCTAAGAAATATTAGTTCTACTTCTTAAATATTTCTTCTTCACATTTGTCTCTGTGAACTTCATACAACTCCAAATAGGAACTGTAGGGTAAACACATTTGTAAGACTTCAAAATAAGAAACATGAAAACCAATACTTCCAGGTAATATGTCCATAGCCAAAGAAGAAAGGAAGAAAATCCCGTAATGATACATCACCACAAAATGTTTTCATTAAAGGTCAGAGTTTGCATAATGTGGAGATTTTAGCTCAAACTTTCATTATCAGGACTTATATCCTCCATTTATTGATACTAAATAGCTCAAAATATTCAAACTATGATGATTCATTCACTTAAGTAGATTTTTTTTTCACTTGTGACAACAAATAATTGTCAAGGAGAAGTCATACAAAATCTGTAGTGTAACTTTGGGTTAGATCCTTATTAAACACACCCTATCTTCATCTGCCCACACACACCCTTAAAGATACTAAGGAGTAAAAGCAATAATTTTACCTTGCAGGGGAAGCTGAAGTACAGAAGATAAAAATAAGATAACGGTCAAGATGAGGTTTAGATTTTACTTAAAGAGATTTGATGTTGACTTGATTTGAGGATGTTTTGTTCCAACAGGCCACTGTGCTTGATCATTGAAACAGACCTCTTGAGATTTTCATTGGTTCGGTGCACTGTAATTTCATTATATTGACAATTTCCCAAAATAAATAATCTCTCAGTTGAAGATAAATTGGGAAAGAAAGCACAATTAATCGAAGCAATTTTAATATTTCTGGGTTTTACCTGTTCAAAGTTTTGAGAGGGAATTTAAAATGAGCCAAGAACCCTAAAATAATTTGTTGAACATTGAATTTATCCTGTGTGAATATTTTTAACTCACTACAAACCAAATTCTAACTTAAAAAAAAGCCCAACGAATAAATATAAACCCAAAACAAACCTAAGTATATTCTAAAACTGTTGAAACTGAATATTAAAATGGTCTCTGAACTGAGAAACAAATCCAAATTCTGTCCTATTTGACAACCTTATCAAATACCACAGGGCAGACAAACCAAGAATGAGAAGATGCAAACAGCATCTCTAAGCCCAACATTCACCATGAAAGTAAGCATTATAAACACTCGCAGAGTGTTTTATCATCAAATTCCTTTCTGGTCAGAAGTAATAAAAATAGTAATCTACCAGATAAAACAACAGAGACCATGATTGCTCATCTCCCACTAAAATAACTGAAAATCTGTTTTGCAGGAAAGAGAAGCATGAATAAGGCAGCAGAGAAAATGTCTAGTTTGACTCAGCATTCCCTCTTCACAAATACATTTTCCTCCTTTTCCTGACAACATATTTTTAAATAAATCTAAGCCAATGTTCTATACAAACTACACATTCAATGAGTTCATGAGAATTATGTAGATTCATGGAGTAATTTGAGAAAGAGAACAAGAAGAGATCGGCTGAAGCAGAGGAAAAACTGAAGCCAGGGCTCTGGCAAGCAAAGCTTCCCTGGCCCTCACTGCCAATGTCCTGGCTTCCTCTTGCAGTCAGATCAATAGATTCAAATACCTGCACAGCTCCAGCAGCCTACTTATTTTCATAATGAAAAAATATTGAGTACCATTGCTCCAAAAGAACAGCCAGCTCAACAGCTGTCATTTTTCCTTATTTAACGTTTCGTGCATTTGTACAAGGTGGCTGGGTGTTACCTGTAACATAAAAAGAAATCTCACACTCACAGCATTATGTGTACAAAAGTGTATCCAATAAGTACCTGATCTGAAAGCACTGAACCACCAAGTGTGATCTTAGTGTCCCTATAATGCCAGCTTGAAACAATGCCAAAAGATTCTGGGGACTAAAGCAGAAGGAAGGAATAGTCAAAAGAATAATATATTAATGCTCTATAAATATTAATGTTTAGACTAAAAAGAAATTGTTTTAAGTATAAGAAATGGCTAATCCACCTTACTTAAATATGGCAACCACAGAGAAACCAAAGTGAAATACTACTAAGAAAAAAAAGATTTCATTTTTCTGAACTTAATCCATTGACCTTCATATGTATTTTCCAAATGAACTTACAAGATGATAATACCACTCATTAAAGGGAAGTTTACAGCTGAAGCAGAAAATTAAAACACACATATATATCTCAAGTGATTTTTTACTGTAAGGAATAACAAAAGTTAAATTAAGAACATAGAACAAAATTGGGCTTGAGACCTAAATTAGAAATAGTCCTATGGAGTTGAAAGCACATTGGTCTTGAAATCTGGGTTCAAGTCCTTGCTATGTCATTTAAAATTTCATACCTTTGGACAAGTCACTACTACTCCAATTCTTGATGGTGTTCTCTGTAAAATGGGAGAAACTGTCCTTGCCTGCCTACTTTAAAAGGTTGTTTTTAAAAACTGAACCTTTTAAAAAACTGAAAACAATTCAGGAAAAATGAAAGACATTCATTCAATGAATATTTAGCATAGGCCCAGCAACATGCCAGCCACACAAGAAACGGAGGACAGCAAAAGAGAAACAGCTCTTGCCCTAATAAAGCTTACAATCTAGCTTTACAGATTATTGCCCTGCAAATTTTAAAGTTCCATAAAAGTGTAAGAGACCGTTGTCTTTAAACTCATGACATCTTGCAGGAGTGGATGAAGACTGACCAAAACAGTCATTCAACAATTCTTTATTGAACCTCATCTCTGTATAAGGTATTTCTTGAGAGAAATAGAAAGATATATTTAATAGATTGTTTCTTCAATATTTCCACAAAATTTATTTTATTTACTTATGTTTAATTTTATTTTATTGTGACAAGAACACTTAACATGAGATCTACACTACTAAAAATTTTAAGTATACAGTACATCATTGTTGACTATAGGTACCATGTTCTACGTAAGATCTCTAGTTTATTCATCTTGCTTAACTAAAACTTTATGTCCATTGATTACTAACTCCCCATTTCCCTCTCCTCCTTAGCCCCTGGCAACCACTATTCTACTCTTTGATTCTATGATTTTTTACTATTTTAGATACATAAGTGCAATCATGCAGTATTCTTCTTTCTGTG